CGTACAAAGATGACATTGCAGCATGCAGAGTGTGCCCCTTTTATCTCTTTTGTTCCAGTGCTATTGCAAGGAAATAAATGCCGTCAGTTAAAGCAGATTGGTGCAATGCCAAATCAAACTGAAGTAAACTGGTGCTGCCGGTTCCAGAATTACTGAGTCAGATGAAGTTCAGCAGCAGGCTAAACGTATTTTTTTTCTTTGCTTATGACTACAGAAAACTGGCACCTTCCACATCAGCTATTCTATTCCCTTCATGCATTCAAATCCTTACCTGCTGACTTCAGTGACAGAAATAAGTTTTTACTCTTTTTGGCTAGGGATAGACATTAAAAAAGCCTGAGCCTGAACTGATTCAATCTTTGCAGGTTAGTTTAACCTGGTTAGGCTGAATTCGTTTGTAATTGCACAGACATCCCAGAAATGTAGGCACATGCCTGCAGTGGCTCAGGCTAGAAGCCTTCCCTTCTACAGTGCTGAGCTGAGGGGGTGTATGGCCAGGTCCCAGCAGGATGCTCTGATTAGGGAGGGGTTCCCCCCGACCTTCTGATCAGCCCAGCAGGGAATTGATAACACAGCGTTTGTCTTCCCTAACTCAGTGTTTATCACCCCATTAAGAAAAAAACAGAGGGACATTACCAGCTACCTGTTGATTCTGCCTTTGTCCTGTCTGCCACAGTATGGACCATAGCCAGCATAGCTAATGCTGAGAGAAGTCTGTGTAAGGCAGAGGGGATGGGGCAATCCCTGATAGCAGGGAGCTGGGAGGGAAGGAGCAGGGATTGCCCCATCCCCCCTGCCTTACACAGACTTCTCTCTGGCTTCCCCCTACAGATGCCTGCAGTCTCTGCTGAGCTCCAGCCAGGGAGCAGAGGGGAGGAGAAGAGAGCCTCACCCAGCCCAGAGAGCATGCTGGGATGCTGGGGGAGTCTGGTTTAACTTAAACAAGCAAGGGGTCTAGGATAGACATTGCATGAACCAGACTGACCCAAATCAGTTAAGTCTGATACTATATCTAACCAGGTTTATCTCAAACTGGTTTCAGCCATTTTCAAACTGGTTTATGTGCACTGAACATGTGTTCTGTTACAGGTTTAAACCAGTTTCTGGTCACCGGTTTATGTGTAATGTCTGTCCCTAGCCTTTAGGTGTCCTGTGCAAGAGAGGCTGAACAGTGGATCCAGCTCTTTCTGGAGTATCATCTTCAGATGATTTACTAAGTTCCAATCAGTTCCACCTGTGCAAGTTTAATTAGGATCAAGGAGTGCACCATCAATGTAAATTGATCTGTGGAAGACATCTAGCCCAGTGCCGCCAGTAATGAAAGGACACAGCTTAACTCGTGGCTCCCTGAGTTTGCAAGGCTGACAGTTGCTCTTCACTTGTAAACAGAGCGCAATTAATCTGGAGTAATGTAAAGATATACATAATTCTGCCTGCTTTTTCTCCTTCCCATGTTGTACCGTTGACAGAGAGTCAGATTTTCAAAAGGTCTCAAAACGCACAATTAAAGTCGGATTATTAAAGGAGATCATCCCGTTGGGAAAACTAATCTCAGATTGTTAACACTAAACTTTTGTCTATGACTTTTTGACTCATTATTCTTTATATTAGCCTTTCAATTTCTATTATAATCAAACGGGTTTCCTCCAAATTCTTTATTATGTCATAGTGCCATACGAGAAATTTGGGACATTTACTTTTATTTTTATGGCTGGTCACTGCATCATAAAAAAACAGGGCTGGAGGGGACCTCAGGGGGTCATCTAGTCCAACACCCTAGTCAAAGCAGGATGATAGTATCTGTCTAAACCACTCCTGACAAATGTTTGTTTTAATAACCTGCACTTAAAAACTTCCAGTGTAGAGATTCCACAGATCTCTAGATAACGTGTTTCAGTGCATAACTACCCTCGTAGTAAGAAATCTTTGTATAATAACTATCCCAAATCTGTGTTAAATTTCATCCCATTATATTACTTGGCCACAGATCAACTGATTGCCATTATCTTCATAACAACCCTTTTTGAACTTGTAGACTGTTTTTTTTTTCAAATGAACCTCGTTTTCTAAACTAAATAATCCCAATTCTTTCATGTGTCATTATTTTTTCTAGATCTGGCCATTTTTGTTGCTCTTTTTTGGACTCCTTTAAATTTGTCTATATCTTTCTTGACTGACTAGGCTATCATTACTATTGGAGAACAGTGAAAACAGAAAACATCTTCACTTGAAGTTTGGATCTGGACCTAGACCTGGAACTGAACTTGGCAGCTCAGGATAGTCTTTAGCAGCAAATACTGCAGCTCAAACCCAGAGCAGGTGAACAAAATAAAATAACAACAACAAAAAAATAATCAAGACTTCTCCTCCTCCTCCCCCCTGACTCCAAAACAACCACCTTGCAACCTTTTAGAATAAAAGATGGCTTACATAAAATTCAGAGCCAGTATGAGGCCACAAATTAACTTATGGGCTCTATGGCTTAGACTGTTGACAATAGTTCACAGCGAGATGTTTTCAGTAAAATGATAGTGGGGTCAGGAGACATGATACAATTTCAATTGAATTATGGTCCTATTGTAAGGCTTCATTTCCCCTCACATAAAACAGGATCTAACATCCAAGGCCCTGTGCAAGCCACTCCTAAGTACAAAATGCCTGCTGGGTTTTATTGCATAGGCACTACACTGGTAGGGGCTGGCTTATAGCTTTATAAAGCTTGTAGAGCTACCTTGAATATGACAGATCACATATAAATCTAAACAAACTCTCTTTCTTTTTAGATTGGTGAGGATGCATGTGAAGACCTTCAATTAGTAAGTGGATGTGAATGGGAGAATCTGGGCCCTCTTGACTCTCACCAAGGAGAGAACTTGGTTTCAAAGGTCAGTCTAGTTGAATAAAGTGACTGCAGGATTTCAACTCAAATTTGACCAGTCTCAGGACAGTCTTGGTTTGTGATGCAGCTAGGACTCCTAGAGTTTCCTGCATGATAAATGCCATCCATTTAGAAGAAGATGCCTGTAACTGTGCAATTTAGTTATGGGCATAGACTCTAGATTAGGGTGCTGAACACCTCCAAAGATTAGGCGTTTGTGTGCTGTTGTTGTGCAACAGTCCATGGTAAGAAGGGCGGAAGCTTATGCAGTGATTTGTATGGTGTGCTGTAACATGACTAAATACAGTCCTTTGTGTGTGCCATCAGAGAAAAACTGCTGAATAAAGGCATTGTTTTGAATACTGTGAAATATAGGGTGAAGCTTATGTAATGATGTATGCTGATTAAATCAGCATTTATTTTGTGATCTGGAATGGACAGATGTGCAGCTGTTCCCAGGTAGCTGAATTCAGCAGATGGATATTACACAAGCTAGTGGGGCAGCAAGTAATAGCTTATTTGCCTTGAATATCTCAGATACCCTGAGATAAGCTATGAACTAATGAACACCAGGGTAACTATATTGATTTTTAACTCTGTTTTCTTTGGAGTGATTCTACACAGCATTCATGTAAGATACACTGGTAAGGGGCTGCCCATTATGTGTCTGTTCCTTTGTGCATTGGTGCAATCAACTTTTATACTGGTGTCAAATGTGACATCTATCCAGGTCCTCAGTTGAGGGATTAGATGCTGGGAAGCTCCTAGAGCTTTGGAAACATTCCAGAAAAATTAAATGCATGAAAATATTAATGAAGTTTTACATTTTGCTTTCAAGCACAGGGACATGAGAAAGGTCTGTTAAAGCAATCATGGTCAAAAAGGGCCCCAAGGAATTGCAGTTTTCTCATTAATTTGGCTGGGCTTTTAACTCTCATTACCATAATAATCTGGGGCCTGGCTCTGCAGGTCCTTCCTTACAGAGGCTAACCCCACACTGAAGTCACTGAAGGTGAAATCTTAGACCCATTGAAGTCAACAGTAAAACTCCCTTTGCCTTCAGTAAAATCAGGATATCCCTTAATTTGGCAGTATAGGGACTGCAGGATACAGGCTTTTAAATGGAGCCTCAGGAATCTTTTTGTAACCATGTACAACCCGAGACCAGGAGGGGATAGCTTAAAAAGGATCCTAATTTACTGAAATAGCACTTCTGAAGTTGACTATCACTGTTTTTATCTTTGCCTTTTATATTTGTTGGCTCTGATTTCTGCCTATGTTGGCTATATGGTTGAATAAGAATCCATATAGTTGACTGAGATGATTTAATCAGGTAGGATCCTGCCTGGAGCAATGGGTTGGACTAGGTGACCTCCTGAGGTCCCTTCCAGTCCTACTATTCTATGATTCTACAGCATGCATGGGCACACACAGCATCTGTGCACTCAGCGTGTGCGCATTTGCAATGGATACATTTCTCTGTTAATAAACCAAAGCTGAGTTAATTTTCCTTGAAATGCACACTCCATATTACACTTTCTAAACTAGAAAATGTGTTTTTTTTAAAGCAAACCCTCTCTTTTTCTCAGCCTCCACCTCTGCAATTAACCAAAAAAAAAAAAAAAGGAAAGATAGAATATTAAGAACGTGAATTACTCAAGTGCAGTCATTCTGATAATTTATTCTTCCTTTTATGAGTCACAATGGCTCCTGTGACTCAAGAGGCAGAACTTTCCATTTCAATAGGAGGAAGTCCCAAATTCCCTGACTTCACAGATGACATACTGGCTTGTAGGCGTTATTAGCACTGGCATTTCATCTCTCTATCCTCCTTTTGTTAACAACGTAAAAGATTCCTTTTAAGACTTGTACCTTTTATCACCTGTTGTATTACAAAGTGCCTGAGCTCCAGTAAGCTGTGACACAGTTATACCTGCAAACCTATAAACATAAATCTTTAAAAACTGTTTAATGCTGGTTTGGGCTTTGGCTTTTCAAGTTGTTTCCTGCGTAGTAAATGTTTCCACCTAGAACCTAAGAACTTAATTCTTGGTGTAGTATTATGAATTTAGTGCTGGTATTATCTGCCTTGCAATCAATGGCATGACTGGTTTTCACTTACTTGCACTGGGGTGCCATAAGGGAATTCCATTTTCTCGCTGCTCTGGGTTATCACTGTTGGATTACTGGAACTGATGAGCACTGGTGAGCTGATTTCTAGAGTCTGCCGGTCGGTGGGTGAATGGACAATCCTGTTGAGTGTGTTTAAGGCAGTTGTGATAGAGAATTGTCTCAGACTTTTCCTCCTGGATTCTGATACCTTGCGGAAAGTTGGGGACTCTTTGACTCTTGCTTTGGGAGAGGACATTCTTAAGGGCGAAGCACATTTAAACTGGGAAGATGGGTGGCTTTTACTTGTCTGTAGGAGTTGTCTTGCAGTAGTGTTCGACTAGAAGAGAGTGAAGGGAAGCTTGATGATAGCATCTCAGAAGCTAAGCATTCTGTAAACCCCCACCCAGTTAGCATTAGTTTTGTCTCCTGATACCTTTATCAAATGAGGAGATGAGTTTGGGCTGAAGATGACATTGTAGTAAATCACTGAACTTGCGTGGCTTAGCTTTTTCCCTATCTTTGCAGTGACAATTCCCAGAGGCATAATTATTGATGCAAAGCTGACAACCAAATTAAAATGGATTTGAAGAAATCTCTTGATGGCACATCCTCCCATTGAGCCTGGGTGTCTGGTTTTCTCTTTAGCTAAGAATCTCACAGGAAGGTCCAGCCTCCTTTCCGATCAAAATCTGACATTTGCAGAAGTGAATATGATACTGAACGGATTTCAGATGATTTTTTTCCCCCCTCACTCAACTCCAGTAGCACATTATAACAGATTTACCACTAAATTATAATGGACATGTGGGTACATCTTAAACAGCTTTATTTTGGCAGCATTGCTTGCATTTTGCAACAGGGTGTCAAATATCTACAATTGACACTGAGGCTTTAATATGGAGAAATCCTCTTTGACACTAGCTTTCTGAACAGTGTCAGATCCACTCAATTATATTCATCCAGAACAACACATTCACCGTTTGATCCTGTTCCCATTGAAAGAATTGACACTCTCACTGTTGATTTTTAATGGGAGCCAGGTTGGACCCTGAGTTTCCATAGAGGTTACTGTCGAAATCGACAGTATTTCTTTGAAATTGCTGATCACCTCAACATTAGCAAAGGGCATGTGGTGACAACATTTCTTATAATGATGACTGGCAAAGAAATTAATCATGATTTATTGCTGACATTAAAGAATTGCAAAACTTTGAGATTTTCACCCACTCATTTGAAGCAATAACCTAACTCCTGCTATGAGCAAGGATTAGTCTAATGTGAAGTAGGTAGTTGCCTCTACAATGTCATCTTTTGAAAAGCTTGGACTGTTTTTACATTTACCTCCCCCTCACTTAAAAAAAATGGTTTGAAGAGAGCATTGCATGTGTATAAATATTAAGTAGTATTGTTTTAATTCCCATAAATTATTATAAAAAGGCCTAAAGCTAGAACTGCTTATTTGAGTTCCCATAACCTGAAAAAAATGGGTTACACATCTGAGCACTGACTATAAATCCAAAGCCTTAATAAGTGTTACACCCCCAAACTAGCCCCACCTAGGCCCTTCCCATAATTAATTTCTAATGTCTCAGTGAGTTTATATGACTATACTTAACTACTTTCCACTTATGTGGGATTCAAATAAGTAATTACTTGAGTTAAGATCATTTCATTAAATGAAGAAACAGTTTAAAAAAATAGAATTTCAGATAATATTTTTACTTGTGTCTTAATATATATAAAGTTATGATGGACTCATAACATGCATAAATATTCCGGTCATTAATCCTATCTTCTTTTTTTATTTTTTGGTATTTTGATTTTTTTGGTGGTATTTACCACTTGTATCTCAGACTAAACTATAGGAATATTGTTAGTGAGAATTCAGCAACAAATGAAGAATCTCATGGGTGAGGAAAGACTTAATGGGCAAGCAGAGTGATAATGCAATAAACAGCTACCTCTGATATGATCTGGTGCGGGGTGGTGGTGACATTTTATGGCCTATGGAAAAGTAATTTGTTTGCTCTCATTGTAGCTCCCAGTGGAAATGTATGATTAACAGAGCTGATAAGAGCACAAATTATGGGGGGGAACTGGAAAACATATTTTTGTTCTGTTTGAAATTTTCCATTTTTTTTCACTACATCTTTCAAACTTTTGAATTATTTCATTCAATGGGGAAGGGGAGCCACTTTCTTCCTTTTTTTTCTTATCAATAGAAAAGCTAGGTGAAAAAAGTAAAGTGTGAGTAAATGTTTTCCCTATTCCCCCAAAACTTTGATTATTGAGATTTTTTTCATTTACATATTTTCTACCAAAACCAAAAATTTTGACCAAAAGTCATTTTTGGGAAAATGTTTGACTGGGTTGAAAATGCAAAGTTTCCATAAATAAATTTTACAAAATAAACATTACAAAATCCACATCCTTCCAGATGTCATCCTTAGGGCTGCGCAAAGCTTTGGTAGCCGATTCGATTCAGAGGAGATTTGGCCTGATTTTGGGACTGAATCTTTGAATCTGAATCGAATTGGGAGACCAAATAAAAGCTCCGAATCGATTTGAAGAATCTGAATCGATTTGGCCGATTCAGGGATTTGGCCATAGACTAAACAGGCAGCTGACAGCTGCCTCCAGCTGGTAAATCTGTTGGGGTTGGGGGAGAGGCGGGGAAGAGGTGTGGGGGAGGGAGGGATTGGGCTCGGGCTGGGGAAAGCTGCCCAGCTGAGGTGGGGGGGTGCAGGATGCGGACACGGCAGTGCTGGTAGCGGGGGCTCTGCCCTTCTGCCCCTTGCCCAGCAAGAGGGGCGGGGCAGGGCGGGATGTGGGTGAGGCTCGCTCCAGGTGGAAGGGGGCAAGTGGCATGTGCCCAGCACTGATGCGGGCATGGTAGCTATGCCCTGCTGCTGCCCAGAGTGAGCCATGACTGCATAACGCCCCCCCCTGCCCCCCCCGGCGCCAGCTGGGCACGCAGCAGCAGGACATAGCCCCTACGGCTCCCCACACTGGGGCAGAGGCGGGCACAGCTGGGGGAGCCATGGGAAAAGCCCCCGTGACTGCCCTGCTTGGCCCCATCCCTTACCTGACCCAGCCTCCTGGCACTTAAAAAAAAAAAAGCTAGGTGACAAAAGTAAAGTGTGAGTAATGGCTGCAGGAGCAGTGGTTGGGGCCTCTGAAGGCTCATGGCAGATGCCCCCCACACAGTGCAGGGCAGCAGGGGGCAGCGGGGATCAGCCCCCCTGCTTGGCACTCGCACGGCAGCGGCCCCATGGTGCGGGTGCAGCGTGGCTCGGCAGGGCACTGCACATTGCCTCGGAGCTGGGGCAGCTCCACCTGTCAGCTGAAGCCCGGCAGCACTTGGCCCCAGAGGCTTCAGCTCCCCGACAGCATGCAGAGCCCTGCCAAGCCATGCTGCACCTGCGCGATGCGACAGCTGTTGCGTGGGTGCCAAGCTGGGGGGGGGGCAATCCCCACTGCCCTGTGCTGTGCGTGCAGGGCTTTGCCATGAGTGCTCAGAAGCCCCAATCACTGCTGTTGCAGCCGGTGAGTGTGGGGCTTTTTTTTAGGCTGGGGCTGGGCAGGGGCTGGGTCCGGGCAGGGCAGCCATGGGGGCTTCTCCCGCAGCTCCCCCCACCCGGGGAGAGGCAGGCATAGCTGGAGGACCCTGGCTGTGCCTGCCTCTCCCTGGCCGATCTGAATCACCGAATCTCTCCGAATCGGTGCTGAATCTTCTGAAGCTGATTTGGCCGAATCGATTTAGGACAGTGATCCAAATCTCCAAATCGAATCACTGTCCTCTGAATCGGCCGATTCTGAGTCAAATACTTCCCTATTCACACAGGCCTAATCCTTACCCATTTTGTGTCGGCACAGTGCCAAGGAGTGAGTGGCCATGAAGTCCAAATGGCTTCTTTTGTTGAAAATTTGTTGCTCTGGGCTAGGGGTGAAAGATACACTGACAAATATCAGGGACGTTTGCACAGCTAATGGCCTTATGAGGTTCCTGTTTCTTGTGGGTAAGTGCAATAGATACTGGTCACCTTGAGTGACAAGAACCACCTTTCACCAGTACTAAATTAATTTAGAAGGGCTATAATGCAAAACAAAGGAGTCCCAAACCTCATGCAACATGTCATGCAATTCAGGAAATGTGAAAAAGGTCTGGATGGTTGACTGAGGTAAGGTATTGAATAAATGTTTTTGTACATACTGTACTTACCTCCACAAACAAGATGGGGAAGATCCCTACTTTGTCACCTAACTTGCCCTCAGCCCAGTTCTCATCAACTTTGCTGATCACTGTGATGATATCACCCTGAAAGGCAGGAGTATGTTGTTACCAAACTATTCTTTTGGAGTAGGTGGATACTTGTTGTGAAAATGAGTTTACTCTGTAATGCCCACAGGCCAACCTCATTAAGAAGCTTCAATGGCGTGTCCACTGTAGAGAACACAAGCCTCTATGCTTATATAATATAATCAGAAATTTTTTGGACTTGAATTCAATGGTTCTAAGAGCAGAATGGCTGCAATTTGCTTTCCTGCTTTTTTTTGCATCATCCATGCAAAGTGTGTACACACATCCTCCATTTGACTTAGTAGAGATTTTCCATTCCCTTTGCACAAATGACTCCACAAGGTCCAGAGCGGAGGGTGAATCAAGCCCCTTCTCTGGCTAAATCTTTTAGTAGCATCAGAGGCTCATCATTGCATCCATGTCCAGGACCAGATTGTGACTGGGGACACAGAGCTACCCCTTTATTGTCTCAAGCAAAGGTCTGGCACAAGCACAGTGTTCGAGTTCTCCTTAGTATGACAGTGTAAAATCAGTTTACAGAGAGGGGTAGGCTGTAGCCCTGTTGGTCTAAGGACATAGGCAGACAAGGTTCTCTGGGTAAATCCGATTTGTGTTGGTCTAATAAAAGATATTGGATTTACCCAAAAAACCTTGTCTGCCTTTGCAGAGAGGAGGTGCTGCCAGACTTCACCCAACCCTGGCTGAGCTTTGAATCTTGCCAAGCTTGGATGTGAAAAGGCCAAGTTTTAACCGTCTTTGTAGCCTGCTGGTTATTGCTGAAGGGTCGCTGCAGTAGCTGGTCTAACCCGTCAGCCAGAACATACCGTATTAGCTATCTGTCAAGTGCTGCGAGGCGCGGGGATGTGAGTGAGCGTGTTCTCTTCTCGCTGAAGCAGCAGCTGTCTGTTTTATATGTATGATAACTCTCCATGTGCTAACTTTGCTGTAGGAGTAGAAATGAGCCTTGTCTCCAAAAGCAAATAAACAGAATGAGTAAGCAGTGAAACAAAGACAAATAAAGCAAAAAAGAAAACAAAACCAGACGGCGTGAAACAGAGGAAAGAGCCTGCAGTTTAAATCAGATGTTGGCATCCTGTGTTCCCCGTGTTAGTGTTAGCAAGATTAGAAACCACATTTTAAAGTGGTGATGCTAAAATGAGCAGATGCTGTGTTAAGAACTGACTTTCTCTTCTGGTTCCTCCTCGTTCTAGTGTGAGAGTGTGACTGAGTCCTAGATACCGGCTTTCCTCCACAAAGCCCTCCGTCTCTTTACTTTGTCCAGCAGTCCCTTTGGAGTGCTGCTTGCTCTCATTGCCAGTGTGCAACAGTGCTAGGATGTCAAAGCAGAGTTGTTAATAGAAAGAAATAACGGTTGATTTTTCTGCTAGGATACTGAAGCCTATAGGGTGTGATGCCTTGCTTAATTTTGACTGATTTTTGTTGTTACCATGAAAAATGTCTAACAAGGAATGAATGCATAGAGATGACAAATACAGCTGTTGCTTGGGTAATGTGTATTCTTGGTAAATGGTCAAATATGCTAATAGAGCGTGGTTGATCTGTGTCCCCTGACTCAAGCTCTTCTAGGTTTGTTTTTAAACTGCTAAGTATCTTTCAAGGAAACCTTCCCAGAATTTCAGTTTTATGGTACATAGCAGCTAAAGTCAACTATTCTTGATTGATAAAAGAAATGTTGTGGAAAAGCTGAAACAGGGAATTCAGAATTGGGATTCCTGGGCTCTGTCTGGACCTCTGTCAAGCTAGTGCTTATTTTCCAAATGTCAGTATGTGTCTCTGGGCAAGTCACCTGGTTAGGTAGTATTTTCAATGCTGGGCATGTCTGAAAATCCCACCTTCAACTTCTTTATCTCAGTTCACCCATGAATAAAATGGGGATGATGCTAAAACTGATTTATGTCATTGAGAAGTTGGAAAGCTTAATTCATATTTGTACAGAGCTTTGAGATCTTCAAATGAAAAGTGCTGCAAAGTTATCTGATCATGAAATAATCCATAGTAAGAAAGCTAGTCAAGTGTTAATACAGTGGCAATGGTTGGACTTACCTTATGAAAAGTTAGGCAGTCCTTATTTTCACTTTTATTCCTGTCTCTCATATCAAAGTTGTAAAGTGCTCTGCAGAGGGGTGGTGGCAGTGGCAGGTGCTTGATAACTTGCACAGAACTGGTTGGGAAAACTCCACTGACTCCGTTGATCTCTCCTAGGTACCAGTCTTCATCCAGCTGGCGGAGCAACATGATGATATCTCCTTTATTGAACCGCAGTTCACCAGGGTTGTGTCCCCTGTAGGAATATAAGGCTTTGGCCCGTGGAACCTGCAGGATAAGGAACAAACATTAACACTTACCCACAACCAGCTGACACAAAAGTGAACATAAATCAAGCTGTTTGGGTTGACCAAAAAATGGTGGTCTACCATGACTCCTAACATCTGTCATGGTAGATGATGTCATTTCATCTTGATGTCATTTCTAAGGGAAACTATGGCCTGGAGGAGTAACTTCTTACTTAGACCCCATATGGCCAAAAGCAAACCTAGGCCTCTCATATATGTAGGAATGTAAGGAATAATTAATTTCTTTATCTAATCTCTACAATAGGCTTAATTGTCTCTGAGTTTGTGCCCCTCTCACAATATTCCTATGTTAATGTACCCACAATTTTACTATTGTATTATTTAGTGTTTAGACTATGCATTTAAATTATATTTTTCCAAATAATCATTCTGGAACACATTACTGTTTGCTAGATATGCAGTATAGAGGTGCAGCCTCCTGCTGGTGACTGCAAGGGTGTGTCATGGGATGGATGCACAGTTTCTAATAGTCTAATGCACTGCTAATAGTCACTGCTGGAGACAGGTTACTGGACTAGTAACCTTTAGTCTCACCTTTGGCCTGACCCTATACAACCCTTCTATCCTCTTAATATGAGTGGAAAGGAGGCATTTACTGAAATTGGAATAGCTGAGAGAACCTTGGTACCTTTTCTCCCTCCAAAGTCTTCCAAGTAAAACTACAAAATTCTCCTAAAATATCTACTTTACTAACCTGGACCGTATTTTATCCTCTCCAACAAATTCAATTAAAAAAACACTGTGACAGATTGTTTGGATGGTTGAGTCAGACCCAGAGCTATCACTGGCCTCACCACCCTGCCCCAAGAGCTACAATTTGAAAGCAGTCTTGCAGACTGTTTTTTCCTGGAAGAAGAAAAATACAGATAAGCTCAGACGTGTGCTCCCTATGCAACTGTTCTGGTTGTGCAGCTCTTGGAGTGTCTAGCACAGGGAACAAATTAAGTTGGCACCGTTGTTGGGGTGGCTTGTGTCAGGGGCTGGTGGAAATACCTCTGGAGGGCAGCTTTATTAAACATTATAGTGCCTTCTTCGGAAATAGCTTTTACAGTTAGCAGACAATGGCATTTAATGTAATTTGCACCATTTAACGTATGGCTGAAATGCCGAAAAAAGGCGTAGAGAGTAGGAAGGGTTAAGGCTTCTATTGTAGCCACAAGGCAACTGGTTTATTAGCATGTAGACTTTGCGCTGCCCCTCTGCTTAGAGCAAATTTCACTCCGTGTGCTGTAAAAAGTCTGTTACAGTAAGAGCACTGCCAATAGACCTCTGCAGTCCCTAGACACAGAGGGTTGAGTGAAGTTAGAAACAGCAATCAAAAATTGAATGGCCTTGCATTTAATAATGCTGTTTTAACAAAGTCTTGTTTGTATTCCATGTAGAAATTACTGTTCTGTATTGGACCAAGAGTCCAGCTCACCCTGAATCCAATCTGCAGCAGTGCTTTACAGGAACATGTAAAAACCCTGTGTTATACAATTTTGCAGCATTGCGCCCATGGGAGGGTTTTCTTCCTCACTTGACATAGAGTGAAAGAGGATTTCTGTGGATACTTTATGAATTATTACCCAACTAGTGTAGCTTCAGATGTTTTTCTTATTATGTGTATATATTTATAATTTGACATTTAGTATTTATAAATTGAGTCCTACTCAATTCAGTAATATCTTGCAGCCGTGACTTCCTCTAGTTATGTGTTCTGTAGATGTGCCTACAGAGCAGCCTGGCACTACTGCCATTGTTGGGTTTCCAATATCTCCTTCTAGGGATTCCACTGGAGTAATGGAAAACCATAAAAATGGGAGCTGAGAAGCTGGAGTGCTACAAAAAAGGAGGGTATGTATGTGTGAATGTAGTTTCCTCCCCCTGCTGAGATAGTGAAAAACATGAATTTATGGTAATACGGGCTCCCCTGGTTCTGCTGAGGTTCCATAGCCTCCAGTCCCCACACTTACTCAGTGCTGGGCCTATCTGGTTTAATAAAACCTCAAATGTTTAGGACCTTTTGAAAAACCCTTGAGTGAGTTCTGCAATCACTTTCTAAGTGCTGTAGAAAAAATGTTGCTAGGATCACAAAACAGGATTGCCTTCCCATCTCCTCAGCTCTGGAGTTCAGATCAGTGTTAAATGACACTGCTAACGCTAAAGGCAGAAACAACGAAGGTCTTGAAGCCTTTTTGTTTCTTTTATCATCGTCTCTACAGTCCTGGGTTAACCCACCCGATTCTTCAGGTTCTGCACCTTTATATATGGAAAGTAGCTGCATTTTAAATATAAAGCAGCCTGCCAAGCTTCTTCATTCATTATAGGTATTTCCAGGAGCCTCACCCAAATTATTGTAATGGTATTTGTTACTGCTCTGGGTGTTTCCAGCTGTTTAGATTGCTTCTTGGCCTCTTGTGGGCTAAGACCAAGTGTTGATCTGATGCTGTAGTGGTGGGAGGCTAAGGCTTGTGTGGACCATAAAAGACTGAATAATTCTTATTGCTTTCTAGATGTTACCTTACCAGGTGAGCAGTGAGGCATGGTGGGGGACACTGGGGCAGGCAAATATGTTTTCCAGTGCTACTGTACTTGCTGTGCTGCTTCTGTAGATAAATGGTGAATTTGAGTCGCTAGGCCCAGTGGACAGGACACTGCATAGAACTAGAGCAGCGATTCTCAACCAGGATGCTGGGGACTGGGGACTTCTGCGAGATCCTTTGAAAGGTGCCATAGGAAGTGCGAGGAGATAATCAAGTGGAAAGTGATAAGGGCACGTTCAGGCTGTAGGTGTGAGAAGACAAGCAGACAAGGGCAGAGCCAGACTTTCCCTGCCTGGCCACTCCCTTGCCTGGCCTCTCTGCAAGGAGGTAAGCACTGTAAGAAAACTGTTTTTGAATTGGGGTGCAGTTCAATTCACAAAAGTTATGGAGGGTGCCTTGGATCTAATAAGGGGTGCCTTGAGTCTGTTAAGATTGAGAACCACTAAAGTAGAGAAACTGGTTTAATTCTCAGCTCTGTTATTGGTTGGCTGGGTGACCTCAGATAAGTCGTGCCCTCTCCCTCCCTGACCCTGAGCTTCCCTAAAATGGGGATAATAATATTGTTGCCCTTTGTAAAACACTTTGAGAAAAGTACTATATAAGAAATAGCTATCATCATTATTTCTTAACTCAGTTTACTTTCCTGGGCTTAAAATAGAAACAAAACTTAACTCTGTTGGGTGAATATAAAAATTGGAGTCCTCTGTTTCTGCTTCTTGATTCTGTTTTGTTTCTCACAGGATATTCAACAGGCATTACTGGTAAATAGTCATCAGTTTTCCTGTGGCAGCTCAGTCTGCTGGGCCAAGCTAAGGTCTGAAAGTTTAATTCTCAGCTCTGCTATTAGTTGCCTCGATGGCCTTGGGCAAGTCAGCCTCCCCTCCCACTCTGACCCTGAGCTTCCCCACCTGTAAAATGGGAATAATAATATTGTTGCCCCTTGTAAAACACTGTGAGAAAAGCTCGTTGTCAACCATTTTTTAGACTTTTGGCCTGTCTCTCCTACTGACAGGGTGTATGGCCTTAACCATATCACTTTATCTCCCTTCCTCCATTTTCTCATCTACAAAATAGGGAGGTTTGCTGTGTGGGCTTGTTGTTGTTGTTCTCCAGTGAAAGTGAGTAAAGGCTAAACTGCTTTAAAAAAATTAACCTGAAAATTGTATTCCCTTTTAGATTCTGTTTAGCTGCTCACTTAGTGATTCACCAAATTGCCCTCCCACATCTATCACCATCGCAACTTGTCAAAACTGAAGCTTAGCGCCATTTTAAACTAGTGCTCTTACCCCTGAGAGTTTAGCTCAACAGCTTAGCTTCCGAAGGGCATGTTTGCTCCTTTCACTTCTGAAAACATTTGCGTCTCCAAAGCAAGAATTCTGAGCTCATCTTTTTATCTGGGGGCCCAATTCCACCCTTGCATAGTTGCCATTGAGGTGAACAGCATCTTTTATGGCCCTAATTCAGCAAAGGGCTTCAGGTATGACCTAAAGGGGGAAGGGGCGGGGGGGTGCTGCCCAGCATAATGCTGATACCTGAGCTAGCTTTGGAAGCAGTGCAACAGTCTAATTAACTTTGCTAAGAAGCAGGGTGAGTGGAGCACTGCAAACACGCTACTCTGCTTTTCATATCCAAGCTGGCTTGTTCAGAGCTAGCTCAGGTAACTATACGTGACATAGTACTGCATATCTTAAGTCTTACTGACTTCACTGTGAATTAAGCCCATCCTCAAGAGCTTTGTTGAATAGGGATGTAACTTAGAAATTGGCTCTTGGTATGTAATTTGTCTCTTGAGACATGAAGATGTACATAGATAAACTAGAGATGGATAAGACCTATTAGGTTTACTAGCTGCTGTCAGTGCAGGATTGCTCTTTACTCTGCCTTTTTGCTTTCTCTTGCCTATTATAGATGTGCCTCATGTGTTGGGGGCAGAGCTGATGCAATGGTCTACAGTACAACACAGACACATGCTCTTTCATGGTTTTATATTTCTTCACAGACCTGATTTTTTAGAAAACAGGAATTTTAGTGGCTACCTCCTATTGGGTGCCTGTACACGTGCGGGGAGGTTGCTCCGATGCACTGTAATGAATCAAGTCTGCTGGAGTGTGCTAGTTAGCATGGGTGACTGGTGCCTCCCAAGCCTGGAGGGGAGGTCCCTCAGCAGCTGATTGCCAACTGGCGGGGAGGAGTCCCCCAGTGTGCACTTCCAGCATGCCAGTGTTTCCAGGGGGTGCACGGCCAATCTCAGGAGGTGCACGTGCACCCGTGTGCACCCCCTATGCGTCACCAATGCTAGTTAGCATACTTCAGCAGCCTCCTCATCTCATGTATCAGCAGCATCCCTGTGCTTCAAAATGGTGGCAGGGGTGCTTTAACTAAAGCTCGTTCGATGAGCTTTCGATAAAGCTCCCCCATTGCCATTTCGAAGCAC